TACAGGAGCTACTGTAAGCTCTTGGAGGATTGGCTACATTAGGGGTGTGTCGCTTAATATGCAAATGAGTACCTGCTACAAAAAGAGCCCTGCGAGAAATGTAATCCACACCCAGCTTGTAGAGATTGTAGAGGAGCTGGGGGCAGGGTGAGGCTCCCTGTGTGTTTGGTGTGTGTAGTCCATTGTATACACTTTTGAACCTGTGCCAGACATTTCCCCCAAGAGTACTTTCCTGGCTTGACCTTAGCCCTGTTGGGTTTTCAGTGGCACAGTGGCACTGGTTCTGCTGGGCATATTGCACTGGTTCTGCAGGGCTTGCAAAAATGCCTTCCACCTTTAGTTTCTACTGCACATGTTCTTTGGGAGTTTGATTCTGTTCTGCAGGGTTTCTATTGCCCTTGCTTTTAATTTGTATTGTTTTTTGCTGTTTTGCCCCTTCCATTGGAAACAATAATCTTCTGGGTGCAAGGCTCTCTGGGGGACATACTGGGAGAGGTGGTCCTGCAGGTACGCTGGTCCCAGACTGTTAAGGGCCTTAAAGGTCAGAACCAGAATCTTGAAGTGGGTCCGCTACTCAATTTGCAGCCAGTGCAGCTAGCAAAGCACAGGTTGAATGTGTGTTGACATTGGGGTACCTGTAAGTACCCTTGCCACTGCGTTCTGTACAAGCTGTAGTTTCCTGGTCAGCTTCAAGGGTAGCCCTATGTAGAGCGAGTTTCAGTAATCCAACCTTGAGGTGACCTGTTGCGTGGATCACTGTGGCAAGGTCAGGGCTAGAGAGGAAGGGTGCTAGCTGCCTGACCTGGCACAGTTGGAAGAATGTCATCTAGGCAGCATTCGCTACCTGGGCCTCCATAGATAAGGAGGAATCCAGGAGCACACCAAGGTTCTTGACGGTTGGTGCTGGTGTTCAGAGGTCATTTCGGGGGGGAACGCGGGGGAACACAGTTCCCCCGGGTGAGGTACTGGGGGGCGGGGCACATGACGAAGCCCCGCCCCCTGCTTCCGGCCGCCCCGCTTCCGGCCCTCATTCAGCCAGGAGGAGGCAGGAGAAGAGGGAGGGTAAGTTGCTTCCTCCCTGCCTCTCCCCACCCCTGCCTGCCTGGGGCCAGGGAGGGCCTTGGCAGGGCTTCCTCGCACTCCCGCTGGCCTTGCAGGTCCACCGCCAGGCCCCTCATGGGGCTCGGAAGTGGAGCTGAAAGGCCGGCGGTGGCGGCCGGGACCGTTGGGGGTGGCCTTATGACACATTTCCGGTGATGTCAGGGGGTGTGGCCTTATGACACACTTCTGGTGATGTCAGGGGGTGTGGCATATGCTAATGAGTTATGCTAATGAGTTCCCCTAGCTCTTTTTCTATGAAATGACCCCTGCTGGTGTTAGTGGCATGCTGTCCAGAGCTGGGAGTTGGCACCCCAACTTCAGATCAACCCCCCCCCCCAGCCACAGGACCTCTATCTTTGATGGATTCAATCTCAACCAGCTCTGCCTCAACCATCCAGCGACAGCCTCCAATCCTGCAGCCAAATTAGGTGGGGCGGCAGCCAGTCAACTACCCATTGTTAGATACAGGTGGGTGTCATCAGCGTACTGGTGACAACCCAGCCTGAAACTCTGTACCAGATGGGTGAAAGGGCACATACAGATGTTAAACAATGTGGGAGAGAGGATGGGCCCTTGGGGGACCCCACACACCAAAGGGTGTTGGGGTGACACCCTATCTCCAAGTGCCACTCTCTGTCCCTGACCGTGGAGGAATGAAGTAAGCCGATTCAAGGATACTCCACGGACTCCTATGTCAGTGAGGCGGTAGGCTGACAGGTCATGGTCAGCCACGTCAAATGCTGCTCCTTTCTTTCTAACATCGATTTCTCTTATGTGTAGGGATTAAGATTGCCACCTTCCATGTGGTGGCTGGAGATCTCAACTGATCTCCAGATGACAGAGATCAGTTCACCTGGAGAAAATGGCCGCTGTGGAAGGTGGGCTGTATGGCATTATACCCCGCTGAAAGCCCCCCTCCCCCAACCCCACCCTCCTCAGGCTCCACCCCCAAAATCTCCAGGTACTTCCCAACCCACAGCCAGCAACCCTAGTAGGGACTGTTTTCTGTGGAAGTGGATACGACCATGAGTCCCCACCTGCAGTGTGATGTGGTCCATTCCAGACTCATTGAGAACTAGAAGAGGAGGGAGGTTTCATTCTGCCTCTGGTTGATAGATAAGACAAGAAGCTTCCAGTTGCAAAGCAGGAGTGTTTTTGGACTTACAGATGTGTATTTCTGATTCCAATATGCATATAGAAACCTGGATGAATGCGTGTGTGTGTGGGCATGTATAGATGTAGTATTTAAAACGGACTGCCTCTGTGCATACACACATGCAAGAGAACAGGTACACATTACACAAGCACACCACTGTATATGTATTCGCTTGCCAGTAATTAAACTTTTAAGGACTGCTATCAAATCGTTGAACATTAATGGCGTGATATGTGCTTTAAAATTTACAAGACGTTTTGTGGCAAGTTTGTGAAGTTTTTCTCCTGTTATCTAAAGAGGTGTTTTGGCTTGTGATAAAGGCTACACCTGAAATGAGGAACTTTGGGCACCTTTTCCCATTGCCAAGTTTGCCAGGTCTCTAGCTGCACATCAAAGCCAAGATTGTCGGACTTCAAGACTAGATGTATAATTGCTGCTGAGCCAATTAGCTCCTTTTTCTATGAAGTTTTTGTATTATATGGTTGGTTGCAACATTTACTGAGCAGATTAGCTGCCATTTTCAAGAAGTAATAAACAAGTATTTTTTTTATATAACATACATTTATTGAATGGTGCAATAAGATTTATTTGATGTCCAGCAAAGCCTTTTTACACAGTGGTGTGTTTGTGTATTTAACTCTTACACTGTATTTCCTGTTTATTTCATTTTGGATCTACACATTAGCTAGGTGGGACATAGCCAAGCTTTCTCCCAGCAGTGGTACATGGAGCTCCTTGGGATGCAGTCATATTTGATAGGCCCTGAAAGCTGGCATGAAAGGAGCTTTTCAGAGGAAGACAGAGAGAGGAAAAACCCACCGAAAAGGCAAATATTATGGCAGCCAGAGCAAAGGGTGGGATGTGATGAGTGGCAGTATTCTCAAAAATGTGGAATGGATTATCCTGGCTCAGGCATTTACAGGACAAGTTTTGTGTTCCCTCAAAACTGTTTTGCCAGTTTTCTTGAGCTCTGGCTGCTGCCCCACGCTCCGCATCTCTCCCCCCTGGACACTATTTGGACTGATGGATTCCTGAACTTGATAAATATGCATCTTGTACTGTGTATTTAAGGCAAACAGCCCTAGCCTTTCTTATCTTGTAACCTCTTATAGTTTAATTGCAGTGCTCTGGACTGAATAAAAAATTATTCTTATTTCTAACCTGTCTTTGATGTTGTAACTGGAATTCCAAGCCTAAAATCCTGTAGCCTAAATGCTGACCACATACACTACTATTGGAGGTTAAAATATTGTGCATCTCTGGGAAGAGTTGCTAATGTGTTAAACCCTAGATGCCAACTGAGATTTTGAACCTCTTATCTTAGGTTGGGAGGGGGATTATTGTAGAGGTTCTGGTGGCATATTGTTCTGAATCCAGAGAGGGTAGCCTACCTCTGTGGGTTGTTGTTTAATGTACTGCAAAAGGTACAGGATTCCCTCCCATTCCTGGACCGGCGTGGGTGGACTATCCTATACAATATACAGTGTCCCATTCTGTCATAATGTTTTCTGTGTGCTGCATTGAGAGATAATACATACAAAGAAACACAAAGCCCTGAGATATTTGATCATGAAGTGGACGTTTATTGTGAACTTGAGCTGGGGAAGCCAGAAGTGATGCTCCTTCGCCACACATAACAAGCTGTCATCAGTGCAGAGGGGATCTCTCCTATTACATTTTGCTTGTTCCCCGGGACAGCATAGCTATGTGCATCTACCAGTATCTCTGATGTCTGTCACAACTTGTACTTCAACAGTGATGTTTGTCTGATCACTTGAGGTTAGCAAGAAGAGGATAAACAGGAGCTGAAGAGAGCAGTTTGACTTTTTTCTGGAAGAAGCCATGTCGTTTATGTCATTCCATCATTCTTCCAAGGAGATTAGGGCAGCAAATGTGAAAATCCCATTTTATTCTCACACCATCCCTTTGAGGTAGGTTCAGCTGAGAGACAGAGGCCCAAGGATGCCTGCTGAGTTCTATGGCTGAGTAGTGATTTGAACAACGGTTTATCTACTACTCTACACAATGGTTTGTTGAACTTGAAACTGACCCATCTGCTTACTCTTACCGTGCAGAAAGCCAGTCTCCTGTAGCCTCTACTTGCATGGCGAAATGAGTGTTTACATACATGTTCTCTAATTCCCTGGATTTTGAATGGTTGTGGGCGCAAGGCAACAGAGACTTACTGTGTGATCAGAGGATGCAGATGACCAGTTCTCTGTTGTCTCATTTGGGAGAGTGTTATACTTGACTGCTTCCTGGGTGCATACATGCCCGGTGTGTTAATTTTGTGCTTTGTAAATGTTCATCTTTCTTCCTCCAATACTCCTTCTGTATCTATGCACTCATAATGCTACAGGTGCACATATACATTCATAGGGATGCATGCTGGTCAGATCCTACACAGATGTTGCCTATGTCCTCAGTTCTGGACCATAGTAATATACCAAACATATATGTTCAAGGGAACCAGTGGCTTGTTGAACTGTGGGATCATTACATAAGAACATAAGAGATGCCAATGCTGGATGCCAAAGGCCCATCCAGTCCAACACTCTGTCACACAGTGGCCAGAAATACCAGGTGCCATCAGGAGGTCCACCAGTGGGATCATTCAGCATAGTAACACAATAATATCTAGATGCAGTGGGAAGGTAATCTTCCTACAGTGAAGTATGATGCAAAATTCCCAGTGGTTTCACAGTTGGATCAGAGGGACTATTCTTCCTCAGTGATTGGGTACATGGGAGCCTGTAGGAGACCAACACCTCCCATACAGTATGCCGGAAGGTCTTGCTGACAAAGCAATAGAGGAAGAAGTTGAGGGAGGTGTTGAGCATGGCTCCCATGTTGGCTATATCGTAGGCTAGGTGTACTCGCCAGTCCTGATTTACTGAAGTCACATAGAGGTGGTAGATCATGACAATTGTCCGTGGAGCCCAGAGAACAATGAAGACAGTTGTAATGGCCAACAGAATTGTTGTAGTTTTGCTGAACCGCTGGTTGGGTCTACCTGAGTGCTTGAGCCTGTAGATGATCACAGAATTTGTCACCAGGAAAATACCACAAGGAATGAAGTAGATGATAAAGCAATGAAGCCACTTGAGGACTTTGTCCATGGCAGTGGGTGCGTCATTCCAGACATCTAGCCACCAGTAGAAGGGGATTCCTGTGGCCAATGATATGGCAAACGTAGCACCTATTATCTTCCGGGTGCGCTCAGGGTAGGACACAGCCCTGTACTGAAGTGGGTGACAAAGTGCCACATAACGATCTATAGTCAGCAGTACGGTCACCCAGATGGAGGCATGATTGGCTGTGAACTGCAGCACATTGATGGTGTGGACAAAGGCTCCCAGAACATCACGAGACAAGATGGCAGCTTGCACTATAAAGCCCACAAAGACAACGAAGACCTGAGTTAGGATGTCAGAAGCTGTAAGAGCCAGAAGGTACCAGTAGGAGGATTTCTGGGTGCGAGTAGCCAGGCGGGATAGTGCGATGGCGGTCAAAATGTTAACTGCAACAAGGAAGAGAGGAGAGTGAGGCGATGAAGAGTCAGTGTAGATGAGATGTGCTAGCAGAAAAACCACATCAGGCACAGGACATAAATAATAATTCCCTCCTGCAAAGTGGGGCGGGGTAAAGCTGGGTCTAATTCTTGGTTTCATATTTGAAAAAAATTTGAAAGGTAGTGGCAGAGGTGGGGATTCCAACAGTATAATGACAAACGCCAATAGCTGTATACAAAAAGTTGAAGAAACTGATCGTATTTATTATTAAGTATCTGACTGTCCCTTTTGTTGAAGGGTGTGTTTGTGTGAGAGGGTATATGAGTGGGGGAGGCCAGGCTACTACTACAGAGGTCTGGCACATGATAAAGTCCTTCCTGCCCTTCCTTCCTTCAGGAAGCACACTAAGAGCTGTCTCAATGTGCCTGGATGAGGGCTCTGACTCTGACAGTAGGGGGTTTGTGTGGGTCTCTGTGGATTCCCGTGATGGCAGTCGAATGGGAACTTCCAGGAAGAAGTCAGGGGAGGGATATGTTGCCTCTGCTTCCTACCAGCATCCTGATGGTGCCACTGTTGGAGGAGCCACTGTAAAACTGTAGAGCAAGCACACAGATCAGGGAGAGTCCTCCTCCTCCTCCTCACCCCTCTATACAGCATGCTACCTGAGAGGGGAGTCCCTTTTTGTCTCTGTCATTCTCATACCCTTTCTCAGAGGTCATTTCGGGGGGGAACGCGGGGGATCGCAGTTCCCCCGGGTGAGGTACGGGGGGCGGGGCACATGATGAAGCCCCACCCCCTGCTTCCGGCCCTCATTCAGCCAGGAGGAGGCAGGAGAAGAGGGAGGGTAAGTTGCTTCCTCCCCGCCTCTCCCCACCCCTGCCTGCCTGTGGCCAGGGAGGGCCTTGGCGGGGCTTCCTTGCACTCCCGCCAGCCTTGCAGGTCCACCGCCGGGCCCCTCATGGGGCTCGGCAGTGGAGCTGCAAGTCCGGCGGCGGCAGCCGGGACCGTTGGGAGCGGGGGGTGTGGCCTTATGACACACTTCCGGTGATGTCAGGGGGTGTGGCCTTATGACACACTTCCGGTGATGTCAGGGGGTGTGGCCTTATGACACACTTCCGGCTATGTCAGGGGGTGTGGCATATGCTAATGAGTTATGCTAATGAGTCCCCCTAGCTCTTTTTCTACGAAACGACCCCTGCCCTTTCTCCAAGAAATTCACATCTCTATCCATTTTAGCCCTGCAACAATCCTCTGAGGTAGGTTGGACTGAGGGAGGGGAACTGACCCATGGACACTTGGAGATTTTCATGTCAGAGTTGGGGGTCTGAACCCAGGTTTCCCCAGCTCTGCATTGCTACTCTAATTACTACATCGCACTGACTCTACCTTGTATTGTACCTGCACTTCCTTCTGCATAGCCACCCTGTCTCTCAGTCCTGCTGGTTCTTATATGCCCGACATTTATGCAACATTGTTCCAGCCTTTTTAAAAACCCTTGAGTGTAGCTATCCCAGCAAGGTAGACAATTATTGTTCTCACATTATATATGGGGACCTGATGCGAAGGTGCATTAGGATAGGAAAAACTAAATGAGTTTATTTAAAAGTAATTAATATGGATGCGTGTAAAGTGCCAGGCAAGAGACAAATAGGGGTGGTCTGCCATTGCCTGGCCTTTGCCACAGCAACCATGGACTTCCTTGGTGGACTCCCATCCAAGTACTAGCCCTGACCCTGCTTAGCTAAGATCTGATGTGATGGGGCCAGCCTGAGCTATCTGGGTCAGGGCACAAAACAACGAATACCCTCTATTTTTGTTCTTAAAATCACTGACTTCCTTTCACCTGTAAGTACTGAAAAGATGGGAAATTCTATTCTTTGCCATCCTGGTGGACATGACAACAGCTCCTTGAAACAGGGTCCGCATGTGAAGCTGCCTTATATTGAGTCAGACTATTGGTCTATCAAGGTCAGTATTGTCTGCTGTGATTGGTAGCATTTCTCCAGGGTCTCAGGTCTTTCATATCACCCACCACTCTGTCCTGTTAACTGGAGATACCAGGTACTGTGACCATCTGCATACAAAGCAGGTGCTCTTATCACTGGGCATCTGTGGTCAGGAAGCATGCATGCTTGGTTGTAGTACTTAGTGATACTGGATTCAGGTCTGAACCGTCTACCTGTCCTTTACGCAGCTCTGAACCTTGTTCAAACCCCTTCCAAGAACCATTTGCCTACCCCCCCTCCCCTGCACAAACTCATTATCAGACTGTGCCTACCAAACCGTCCTGCCAGAGCTGCAGCTGGATTTCCTGCATCAGTCTGAGAGATCATGGCTCCCTCTAGTGCTGGAAATGACATTTCAGTCTAGACAACTGTAGGAAGAGCAAATGCCAGCCTAACCACCTTTCCTTTCCCAGGTCAATCTCTTCTATTTTGTACGTTACAGTCTGTATAGATTGCTCCTTAGCCCTGCAGTAAACATTTCTAGTTGATGCAGCTGTTCACAGGAAAAAAAGGAGCAATATTGTTGGTTATGTCTGGACAAAGCGTCCCATATTTTAGGATAATTAAGTGACAAGTATTCAGATTATAATTTAGAAATTCAGAGGCTTGGACATCAATTTATACACTGTTGCTCTGAGCACCCTTGTTTTGTGCAGTATAAGAAAATTAAATGCTACAAGAACCTAAATCATGGTTCAGTTTGGTGGAAAAGACAATGTCTGGTGTCCAAAGAAGAGAAGATCCTGAAGGGGGCAGCAGGAAGAAAATTAAATAGGAAAGTGAGGTCAGCATCTTCTCTACTGTTGAGTGTCATTTCTTGCCTGTATCCAGATTGCTACTCTTAGGGCAATTTCCGCTTTCTTCTCAGAAGTTCTTCACCTCAGTCTCCTCTCTCAGCTACAAATGTAGTTAGGAATCTCTCTGTGTCTCTCCTCTTTCCTATCAAGTATTTTAGTTCCTCAATAAATCTTTATCTCCTCTTTAATCAGGTTGTGCACCGTTGCTGCATTAATTACTCTGCTAATACATTTTTGGCATGATACCCCATGATTTCTGTGGAATATTTCACTCCTCTGGTTACAAAAAATGTCATCACACAAGCGTATTTATGTTCCACTTCCCTAAATTTTAAGATAGTTCACTTATGGCAATTTTCCATTTTCCAGTTGCCTGTATAATATATGAATGTTGCTATCAGGAAATACTTCTTAACACAACATATGATTAAAATATGGGATTTGTTGACAGAGGACGTAGTGATGGCCACAGGCACAAATGGCTTAAGAGGGAATTAGATTAATGGATGAGGGGCCGCGGTGGCTCAGAGGTTAAGACACTGAAGCTGCAGAACAGAAGGTCGGTAGCTCAGCAGTTCGAGACCCGAGTGCCCTGTGACAGAGTAAGCTCCTGTCTCTGGCTCCAGCTCCTGCCAACCTAGCAGTTTGAAAGCAAGAAATTGCAAGTAGATAAATAGGAACCGCTTCGGGGGGAAGGTAACAGTGTTCCGTGCACCTTGGCGTTTAGTCATACTGGCCACATGACCATGGAAACATCTTCAGACAGCGCTGGCTCTTAAGCTTGGAAACGGAGATGAGCACTACCTCCTAGAGTCAGATTTGACTCGCTTTCAAGCAAGGGAAACCTTTACCTTTTAGATTCATGGAGGATAGGTCTATCAGTAGTTACTAGCCATGGCGACTAAAGGGAACCTCTACATTCACAGGCAGTAAACCTCTAAATACTGCCAGGAAGCAACATCAAGGCCTCTATGCCCTGTAGTTGGTCCTCCAGAGGAACTGATTGGCCACTGTGAGACAGGATGTTGGACGAGATGGACCACTGATCTGATCCAGCAAGGCTCTTCTTATGTTTTTTATGGTTCTTATGTTCTTAAGATTAGGGTAAAAGTAAAGAGAGTCAGATCGTTGGTCCACCTAGCTCAGGCTTGTCTGTTGGGACTGGCAGCAGTTTTCCAGGGTCTCAGGCAGGCACTGTTCTTTCAAGCCACCTGTTACCTGTCCTTTCATTGGAGTTACCAGGGATTAAACCCACATGCCAAGCACTTGCTCTGTCTACCACTGAGTTGCAGCCCCTCTGAAGCAATATTGCTCAGCTTTTTGCAAATTAAGGAGCTGTGAAATGCTTGTAACTTAGAATTCAAGAGAGAAATTGATCCCAAGATGCAATTTATGAAGAAGCTCTCACCTGGGGCGAAATGCCTTGTAAAAATGGATGGCTTTGTTTCCTTTCTGCTTTTTTGTTTCTCCATAAAAGCATGCACACCACAGCTGACCTTTCAGCTTTTAATCCTTCTGAACTGTGAAATAAATATCAAAATAGTTAAAATAAGATCCTTTATATTGTTTTCTCATATATCTAAGTAATCCAATTACAAATTATGTAAACAAGAGACTGTTCACTCAGTATTACAGACTGTAACAGTATAAACTTGAATAGAGGATAATAACTCCAGAGTAGTGAGCAAACCCTGATAGGTTTTTTCTGCAGGTGAATGCTACTCCTCCAAAACAATGACTCTGAAGTAAACTCTTTCAGAAATAGTCAGAGGACTAGGTCCTGATGCTTAACTGATAGAATATCAATATCAGGGATGGGGAGACTGTAGCTCTTACCCAACTTGCCCCACCCGGGTTTGCGGTCCTACACCAATCACGGACTAAGGGTGGGGTGGCGGCGATGTTCATACGGGAGCCTTACTCTTTCAGGGCGCTCCCCCCGCTGGAGATCACGGGCATAGAGTGTGTCGACCTGATGTTGGGGACCAAGGGGAGTTTGGCAATCTGGATGGTGTACCGACCACCTAACGCACTGGCCAGCAGCCTGCCACCCCTGATGGACATTGGAGCACCCTAGGCTTTTGGTCTTGGGTGACTTCAATGTCCATGCCGATGACGTGGCTTCCAATCAGGCTGCGGACCTGGTTTTGTCCATGGCGGCACTGGGATTCTCCCAGCTTGTAGCAACTCCCACGCACCAGGCTGGGCACACACTCGATTTGATCTTCGCGGCGGGGATTACAGTGGACTGGATTACTGCTGCAGCAGTTCCATGGTCGGACCACTATGCCCTGAAGGCTCGTCTGAATGTTCCACCCTGACCCTGTTTAGGCGGCGAGTAGATTTTAGCTTGCCCGCGGAGCCAAATGGACTCTGTACGGCTTCAGATGGCTCTGCGGGATCCGATGCCCCTAGCAGCTCATTGGATGACCTTGTGGAGGATTGGTATAACCAACTCTCCATAGCCATCAATAAGATAACTCTCCGGCATCCTCTGCGCTCTCTCTCTAGGCTTGCCCCCTGGTATACCCAGGGGTTGTGGCTTATGAAGCAGGACCTGAGACAGCTAGAGAGATGGTGGCGCCGTGCCCATGATGAAGCATCAAGAGCATCTTATAGGACGTTTATGAGATCCTATGAGATGACAGTCAAGGCTGCTAAGCAGGAATTCTATGCAGCTGCGATTGCATCTGCGAGCTCACGCCCAGCCCAATTGTTTAGAACGATTCAGTCTTTGACAGCTCTGACACAGGGCAGACAAAATAGTAGGGAATTGGATATTTGCTGTGAGGCTTTTGCGAGCTATTTCATGGACAAAGTCTTGGCACTCCGCCGTGACCTCCCTGCCATAGTTGAAACAGTGAGTGAACTTGAGGCCCCTTGTGCGTCTTCGATTCTGGGTTTAGAGTGTTTCGACCTGCTCAGTCTGGAAGAAGTTGACAGATTGCTCGTAATGGTGCGCCCAACCACATGCCGCCTTGATCCGTGCCCTTCCTGGCTCATTAAAGTGGGCCACGAGGGGTTTCGAGGTGCCGTACGGGAGATTGTCAACAAGTCCCTCTTGGAGGGGCAGTTCCCGGAGGTACTCAAGGAGGTGATGGTCCATCCTCTCTTGAAAAAACCATCTCTGGACCCAGCTGAATTGGCCAACTATCGGGCGGTGTCCAATTTGCCCTATCTGGGCAAACTGATTGAGAGGGCAGTGGCAACACAGCTACAGAGATTTTTGGATGACGCTTCTATCCTTGATCCATTCCAGTCCGGCTTCCGCCTGGGTCATGGGACAGAGACAGTACTGGTTGCCCTTACTGATGACCTCCGGAGGCATCTGGATTGGGGCGGTGTGGCGGTGCTGTTGTTGTTAGATCTGTCCGCCGCGTTCAACATGGTTGACCACCAGTAGCTGACCCGCTGTCTCACCAACGTGGGGATACGGGGGCTTGCCCTTCAATGACTTGCCTCTTTTCTCCAAGGTCGGGGACAGAGGGTGGCACTAGGGGAACAGCTGTCCCAGAGGCACCCGCTTGAATGTGGTTTAACATCTACATGCGCCCCCTTGCCCAGATCGCCCGGAGGTATGGGCTGGGTGTCATCAATATGCAGATGACACCCAGCTCTATCTGATGTTGGGTGGCCAGTCGGACTCCAACCCAGACGATCTGAACTGGGCCTTACAGGCCGTGGCTGGGTGGTTCAGGATGAGTTGGCTGAAACTTAACCCAGTGAAGACGGAGGTCCTGTGCTTGAGTCGGGTCAGTCGGTCCAGGGTTGGGGATCCCTCTTCCGACATTCGATGGGGCACCTCTGGTGCCAGCGTCGGAGGTTAGGAGTTTGGGAGTGCTCCTGGATCCCTCCTTAATCATGGAGGCCCAGGTGACAGCCACTGCCAAATCGGCCTTTTACCATCTTAGGCTGGTGCAGCAGTTGGTCCCTTCCTCAACCACGATGACCTGGCTACAGTGATCCATGCAATGGTCACCTTGAGGCTAGACTACTGCCTTTGTTGCAGATCCGGAAGCTGCAGCTGGTGCAGAATGCAGCAGTCCGGCTGTTGATGGGCCTCTCCAAGTGGGAGCACATCCAGCCTGGGCTGAAAGCACTGCACTGGCTGCCAATAGCATACCAGATCCGTTTCAAAGTGCTGGTGCTTACCTTTAAAGCCCTACATGGCCAGGGTCTGACATACCTGAGGGACCACCTTTCCCCATACGTACCCTCAAGAGCACTTCGGTCGGGGACTCAACATTGCCTGGTGATTCCAGGCCCCCGGGAGGCAAGGCTTGCCACAACTAGGGCCAGATCCTTTTCAGTGGCGGCTCCTACCTGGTGGAATGAGCTCCTGGAGGAGATCAGGGCCCTGCAAGACCTCATAAAGTTCCGCAGGGCCTGCAAGACAGAGCTCTTCCACCAGGCGTTTACGTAGGAGCTGCCACTACCACCACCACCAATGGCATGGGTAACAACTGGATAAGAGGACGGCCCTTGAAGATCTGCCATGATATCGCACTGGGTTGGTACCACTGGACTGGCCGCATACCAGCTACAGAACACTATCTACATCCAATGAAAGATCCGGCACCTACAGTTGGAAGACCATCTTGTTCTTATCAATTTTATTTTTTGTTTTAAGCAGTTTTAAACTTGTTTTATATGTGGGCATTGTTGCCCTCTTGTAAGCCGCCCTGTGGGGTAAAAATGCTAATAACTAATAAATAAATAAATATATGCTTTTGAAGCAATCTTTCTTTAAACCTTGAAAAAGCTTTGAAGTGAAATGTGGAGATATTAGGCTGGCTCACAGGTTGGGAAAGAGGAAAAGAAACCAGGAAAAGCTACAAACATTATTGTTGGACTATCTTGCGGATGCATATATGGAATTGTATTTCTGAAAGAGTTTACTTCAGAGTCATTGTTTTGGAGGAGTAGCATTCACCTGCAGAAAAAATCAGGGTTTGCTCACTACTCTGGAGTTATTATCCTCTATTCAAGTTTATACTGTTACAGTCTGTAATACTGAGTGAACAGTCTCTTGTTTACAATTCAAGTCTATTCAAGTTTACACTGTTACCGTCTGTAATACTGAGTGAACAGTCTCTTGTTTACATAATTTGTAATTGGATTACTTAGATATATAAGAAAACAATATAAAGGATCATATTTTAACTATCTTGATATTTATTTCACAGTTCTGGTTGTTGTTGGTTTTCTGCTGTGAAGCTCATTTCTCTGCTACTTTAATCCTTCTGAAGCAGACCAAGCTCTTCAGGATTCTCATGCTTCTTATCTGGTTTGCTGGCAAATCGTTCAGGTTGAGCACACCTCTAATCCCTCTCACCAATATTTCCCATTCAAATCTAGTACTCATCCCACCCTCCCTGATTTTTGGGAATTCACAATACTGATGGTCTCATGGCCTCTGCTTCATTCCTCAGCCATGAGCCCTTCCCTCGTTTGGGCATCATTCACCTCTCTCTCTGATAGTTTTATGAAAATAGTTTTCCTTACCTGGCAGTCCCAGGCCCAACAGGATGCAATAATAGATGACGGGGCCATTGCCAGAAACACAGGTTGATCTTGCTTCCTCATCTTGGTCCTTGGTCTTGCCTGTCAATGCCAGATCAGTCGTATTCATCTTTCCTTAGAACCTGCCAGCTGGGGTGGTGGTGGAATCAAGAATACATTTCAGAACGAATCACTATCTAGAATAACAAATTTCCCACACACAGGCCCGTAGCCAGGATTTTTCAATTTGTGGGGCCTTTTAAGAAGTCAGGGGCACTAAAATTCATGAGTGGGCCCCGCTTCTCCCCCAAAGCACTCAGACTCGGGGGGGAAGGGGGGGTTGCATTCCAAACCATGAATTCCCAGCTTGGAGTGCAGGCGCACACAGGGTCTCCCCCCATTTCTTCCTAAAAGTTAGGGGGCTTGGGAGGAAGTCAGGGGGCTGGGCCCTGGGAGGCCCCACAGTAGCTATGGGCCTGCCCTCACAAGTTCTTGAACATTTAAATTTTCCTTTCTTCCCTAAAGGGATCAAATACTATGCTAAGAACTTAAGGATCAATGTGGTACTTTTGTAGTAGCTTCATGTACCCGTTGACCCATCATGTCAGCAGGTTTTTCCTGTTGGGACCCTTACAGTACCAATCTAAGACCATTTATGTTTTTAAATTCTCCTTAGGATTGTACTGCTAGACATGTAAGGGTATGGATGGAACCATTGCACACCATCTCCAGATCATGCGTAGGAAGCCATCAGTGAACTGTCTGTTAAAGCCTGGTAAGTAGTTTGCTAGGCAATGTGTGATAGGGCATAGGTAGCTGCAAATGTTCCTCTGTTCCAGACATGTGCAGATGACCAGATACAAAATTTACTGAAAGCCCCACTTAGTAAAACCCCTGGGATAGGAAAAGGGCAGGTGGTATTTGGGAATGGTAGGATAAGGCAATATATCCGTGTGTGTTTTTCCAAATAAGCTTACCTTGAATAGATCACTAACTCCATAGAGAGAGATTATGTCTGCCCATTCACCTTCGAAACAAGTAATTGAAACCCAATTACTTGTTTCACTATTTCCTAGTAAGCTAGAATTTCCCATCCATCTGTCTTCTGGGACACATGGCATTGAGTACTGTGACACTTATGCCTCTGGTTTAGTGCATGGCATGTGTCTCAGCATCTGTCTGCAGAGGACATCACACTCAGTCCAGTTCTCTTGCTAGACAGACAGATATTCACAGTCTCCCAAAAGATAGATCCTGGCGGAATCTTACCTTGATGATTCTTCTGCAGGAATGGCTTCCCTGTACAGTCACTTGCACTGTTCTTGCTAATTCTCCCCGATCAGATGGCTAAAGAGGGCACCTCCTCCTCTCCTGCACACCAGATTTGTAACACTGAAAGCCAGCCCTGAGTGAGACTGAGAGAGAAGGAAAAAAGGGTGGCTGAGTGAGGCAGTTGGAGGGAGGAGCAGCAGGTGAATGCTTGATGCAGGCAGATCAGGAGTCAGGAGGGGGAGTGAGGCTGTGCTGAGTACTCAGCACAGATGGTGGACCAGCCATGGAACATCATTACCAGTCAAACCCCCGAAGTTCTGTTAAATATCCCCCCCCCCTCTCTCTCTCTCTCACACACACACACACACACAGAGGAAACAGAGCATTAGGTAATACTTTAAAAAGTAAAGGTTCCCTTGCTCGAAAGCCAGTTGAGTCCAACTCTAGGGTTGCGGTGCTCATCTCCGTTTCAAAGCCGAAGAGCCAGCGCTGTCCAAAGACATTTCCGTGGTCATGTGGCCGGCCTGACTAAACACCAAGGCGCACAGAACGCTGTTACCTTCCCACCGAAGTGGTACCTATTTATCTACTTGCAATTTCTTGCTTTCGAACTGCTAGGTTGGAAGGAGCTGGAGCTAGAGACGGGAGCTCACTCCGTCATGCGGCACACTCGGGTCTCGAACTGCTGAACTACCAACCTTTCACAGCCTGCAGCTCAGCGTCTTAACCACTTGAGCCACCGCAGTTCCAGGTAATACTTATTTCGACCATATATTGGAACAAATGCTTAGCATCTACTTTTCTTTTCTTTTTTGTTTGCTGTCTGGTCACAGGTGACTTAAAACCCCATGGGGTTTTCAAGGCAAGAGATGTTCAGAGGTGGTTTGTCATTGCCTGCCCTCTGTGTTATAACCTTGGACTTCCTTGGTGGTCTCCCATGCAAATACTCATTAGGGCTGACCCTGCTTAGCTTCCGAGATCTGATAGGCTAAGGAATTTGGGGAGGGGGACCTGAAGCATAGAAGTAGCAGTGGTGTGTATACTTAGCCCTTTCTTCACTTACCATTTTTCCATTTCAAACTGGTTCTCAAGTTCTTCCCCCAGTTGGATTCTAAACAAACTTGTTTCTTTAAGGCACCCCTTTTCTCTGCTGCATCTCTGCTCCCAACCCATTCCAAAGCAGCTTTTCCCTAGTGAAAGCATCTAACAGGTTATGGTAGCTGCATCCGTGTGTAATGCATAGTTTCACTCTAAAGGTAAAGGTAAAGTTTCCCTTGCTCGAAAGCCAGTCGAATCCGACTCAAAGCCGAAGAGCCGGCGCTGTCCAAAGACGTTTCCGTGGTCATGTGGCCGGCATGACTAAACACCAAGGTGCACGGGACGCTGTTACCTTCCCACCGAAGTGTACCTATTTATCTACTTGCAATTTCTTGCTTTCGAACTGCTAGGTTGGGAGGAGCTGGAACTAGAGACAGGAGCTCACCCCGTCTTGCGGCACCCGGGTCTTGAACTGCTGAACTACTGACCTTCCACAGCCTGCAGTTCAGCGTCTTAACCACTTGAGCCACCGCAGCTCCACTTAAGATGCAGTAAATATAATAAACTACCTGAATGCAGAATTTGCTATAATATCATGTATCCCGAGTTGGGGAAAAATTGAATTTATCAACATGAAATGCAAGATGAAAAGCATACACATTCTAAAAGAATAATTGAATAAGACTGCAAAATAAAAATGCAGGAAAATTAATTAATGGAATATGCACAAAGTGACAAACATATAAATTAGAACAAATTTAGCCAAGTAGTGCTTTGTTGTTCAATCGCACAGTTGAGTCCGACTCTTCGCGACCCCATGGACCAGATCACGCCAGGCCTTCTGGTCTTCCGCCGTCCTCTGAAGTTTGCTCAATTTCATGTTCGTTGCATTTATGACACTGTCTAACCAACTCATCTTTTGCCGTCCCCGTCTTTTTTGACCTTCAATCTTTCCCAGCATCAGGGTCTTCTCCAGTGAGTGCTCCCTTCTCATTTGCTGGCCAAAGTATTTGAGCTTCAGTTTCATTATCTGGCTTAGTAGCTTAAATATAAAGATAAATATAAAGATAAAGGATTCTGAACTTTTATCAAATCTATATATGATCTGCAAAGCTGGATTGGAAATTGGAAATGTGTTTCCTAATTAAAAAAACACATTTGCCACTCTTTAGAACTGACATGCACAGAGAGGAAGTCTGCCTTTGAATTAAAATGGAATTTGCACTGGGATGGTGGGGCTTGGGGAGGGGAGGGACAATAGCAGGATATGATGCCATAAAGTTCACCTCCCAAAACTGCCATTTTCTCCAGGAGACCTGATGCCTGCAGAATCAGTTGTAATTCCAGAGCTCCAGGCCCCACCTTAGGATTTAAATTTTAAATCCTAAACACCTCGTAATTATTAAATCAACTGTGACATAACCATTTACGTTTATTTGTTTTTTATTAAATTAGATTTACTAGGCCGCCCTTCCCTAGAAAAAGGCAGCTTGCATCGCAACAAAATACTATACAAATCTCAAGTTAAAACCAAGTTAAAAACCCAGCAATTACCAATAAGTAAAACAGCATACATACAGTATATAAGACGGCGGGAAAGATTCCAGCTCCCCAGCCTCCCTGGGGGAGGGGTTACGAGGGATGGGGAATTATGTTGTTCACTCTTGAGGGTGCATTACATGTATTTGACAATTGCATCTTTGTCCATGAAACCTTACGCTGAAATGAAATCCTGTTAATCTTTAAGATGCCACAAGATGTCTAATTATTTAAAGGTAAAGGTTCCCTTGCTCAAAAGCCAGTCGAATCCGACTCTAGGGTTGCAGTGCTCACCTCCGTTTCAAAGCCGAAGAGCCAGCGCTGTCCGAAGACGTTTCCGTGGTCATGTGGCCGACATGACTAAACACCAAGGCGCACGGAACACTGTTACCTTCCCACCGAAGTGGTACCTATTTATCTACTTGCAATTTCTTGCTTTCAAACCGCTAGGTTGGCAGGAGCTGGAACTAGAGATGGGAGCTCACTCCATCATGCGGCACCCGGGTCTCGAACTGCTGAGCTACTGACCTTTCACACTGCAGTTCAGCGTCTTAACCTCTTGAGCCACCGCAGCTCCATCTAATTATTTACATGACACCATATATATAAACCTGGAATTCATCAGGCATCTAATGTTAGGAAATACTCTGGTACTCTGTGGCAGAATAGTAATCTTGTATCAGCAGCATAAAAACTTTAAGGCTATGCCAAAAGGTTTGTTACAGCATTCTAGTGGACATACTTAATTTAACATGTGAAGTGTTAGGCCAAAAGCTAATATCCACAAGGACCCATTCAGTTTGTATTACAATAGCTAAGTTTAAGAAAAGATTAAGAAATTTTAAATTTGCTTTACAAAATGGTGTATCTTCCAGTTACTGTTTCCTGCTTGTTGTCAGGGAATGTTTTGTCCTACAGTTCACCTCAAAATATCTATATCAAATGCCCAGTGACTGTTGGACTTGGTGGGAGAAGGTGGTACTAAGCAGGTTTAATGATCCCTCTGGCAGTAAGATGTTCTTTTCCAGAACAGCACCAACCATCTTATTTGGGTTGTGGATGCAGGAGTTCCTTAGTTCTCCAAACCTCAGGGAAGCAAATCCTTCTCTCCCCCACCCCTAGTTACACCTCCAGTCCAAGGCTGGAGAGAGATGGCATGAGTCTTTAACTTCATAGTTTGAGACACGTAGGTGGGCCAGTGGGTCACATGGCCCTACCTGCAAGCAGGCCCATAGCCAGGATTTTGTAATTTGGGGGGGGGGCTTCAAATAGGGGCACTGACATCACAATAAATAAATAAATAAAATTTTAATAAAATTTAAAAAACTCATGCTCGCCAGTTGGAGCAGGCAGTCGCTCATCCGTGGAGGTCTCCCATGGCAGGGCGAGGGGCTCCAGCAGCAACAGGGCAAGGGGGTGGGTGAGTGAGCTCCGATGTGCCCTGGGGCACGCCGGCTGGGCACCCAAACACAGGAGGAGGCAGAGGAGGAGGAGGAAGAGACACCCTGGCCCAGATCACACAGTGCAACTGCCTCGGCCCCACAGAAAGTTCCCGCACTGTCAAAGCCCACCGGCCCCACCTTGCCTGCTGGCCCACCTGCCTGGCTGCATGACACTCAAGAAGGGGCGGTGGTGGCGGGGATCAAGCTGTAATTGGGGTAGGGGCAGCCAATGGTGGTTCAGCTTTTGTGGAAAGGGGAAAGTAACATTCAGCATCGCTTGGGGCTAGAGGGCTCCTCACCCTAGCCTTGCAGTAAGAGCGGAGGGGACAAAAGGCTTCCTTTCACAAGATGGTTCTGAAAAGTACGCAGATAGGCGAGTGATTTCAGCTAACGTACTTTTATTAGGGAGGAACAAGACAACTTTAGCCAACTCGCAGGCCGGCTTATATTTCCCGTGAAACCACCACCCAGAACACACCCCCACATCACAATAGGTTATTTACAGTGGTTGAGAGTTCCATAGGCTCTCGGCCGGGAACCTAGGCCTCTGATAGGTGCGGGCTAGGATCCGCTGAGTTCATTGTTTCCTTGAGCGAAGCTTGATGTTTGCGCTGGCCCGCGTGGATCCCAAGCTAGCCACGTGGTCCAAACTGGATACATTACACCCCTCCCCCCTTGGTTCGCAACACACCCACAGATAAAGTCCTTGAGGTGTGCCGGTGCTTTCCTGGTGCGGTTAGAGCGACGCAGCTCGGGGGCCGTGGCTGGCACCACCGCCGATGGACCCGGCGGAGTGCTGACCGGGGTTGGCGCCATGGGCCCCAGTGCCGGTGTTCCATATGCAGCCGGGAGGTTGTCCTCATGTGCGCCCGCGGGGAAGGGCCCGGGCTCCGCAGTAGGCGTCGCTGGTGAGGTAGACGTTTGTGGTGGTGTTGTGGGTTCCGGGGTGTCAAGGGTTTCAAAGTCCTCGGGGTCCAGCAGCAGCATCCGTCGGCGCAGCTGGTCAATATGATGGTGTAGGGTTTGGCCGTCCTCACTGGAGACCTCGTATGATCTGGGGCCCTTGACTCTCACCACTCAAGCCGGAATCCAGGCTGGACCCCGTGCATAATTCCTGGCGTACACAGGGTCCTCTTGAAAGAATCCCCTGGCTGCTTCATGCGCTTCGGTGACCAGTGCCTCCTCTGGAGCATGGTCTGGGTGGAGACAGTCCAGCCGGGTCGTGAGGCGGCGACCTAGGAGGAGTTCCACCAGACTGCGTCCCGTTGTGGTGTGGGTCATAGTTCACTGGCCAAAAAGGAAGGCTGCCAATTTATAGTCCCAGTCCTGTGAGTCCAAACGGTGGAGTGCGTCTTTGGTTGTCTTCACCATATGCTCTGCTTGGCCGTTGGTCACAGGGTGAAATGAGGCAGACCAGACATGGCAGATCCTGTAGTACTGGGTGAACTCCTGGAATTCGCTGGACGTGAAGCCAGTCCCGTTGTGGCCCAGGATCACCCCGACCCCATAAGGCGAAGCGTCACAAGCAAGGACCACGGGGAGCACCTTGTTGAAGTGTGTCAGGACAGAATTTGACACGAGCAGGTCTTTAACTGCGTGGAATGTGGCAGCCTGCGGCAGACCCCAGACCCAGGGCGCGGATTTGTCCAGGAGGCGGTGGAGAGGTTCCGCAACTGTGGCTTTGAGGGGCAAGAAGGAGTGATAAAAGTTCAGAAACCCCAGAAAGGCCTGCAGCTCAGACTTGGATGCGGGAGAGGGGGCTTGTGTGATGACTTTCACCTTGGTGGGGTGGATACCACTGGCGTCGACTGCGAAGCCCAGAAAGTCTACGCGAGGGACCTCCAAGAGACATTTCTCCTTCATGACCTTGAGCCCTGCCGCGTCGAACCTCTGGAGCACTGCTCGGAGCCGATCTGCGAAGGATGACAAGTCTGGGGGTGCTATGAGCATGTCATCTAAAAACGGCTGTACTCCGGGGATACCTTTGAGGAGGGAATCCATAAAAGACAGATTCCCGGCGCGACCGACACCCCGAACTGGAGGCGGTGTACCTTAAAAGCGCCCTTATGATCGTTTGGGCCTCAGCGGTGGCGGCATCAACTGGCAACTGTTGATACACCTGAGCCAATTCCAATTTGCCGAAAACCTGGGCCCCCACCAGAGTGGCCAACACATGGCTAACCACCGGTACCAGATAAGCATGTGCCTGTAGGGCTTTGTTGATACCCTCGTGTTCGATGGCTGCAGCCGCCGGCGACTCGTGGTTGGAAACAGCCGCTGCCACGTTCTCGAGGAGATCACCGTAACTGATGATCCTGAGTCAACCTCCATGCTGCACGGAACGCCGTCGAGGAGGAGGGTGACGTGGATCTTCCCTTGACCTCCAGTGCGAAGGATGGTCGATGTGGACAACAGACTGGTTGTCATCTGACAGCTGGCTTCCCGTACGGCTGCTTGTGATCGTGGGTTCCTTGGTGAAGATGCTGGAGAGGATCTCTTCTGCAATCTGCATACTCGGGCTAGATGGCCCCACCTTCCACACGCTCGACATACGATGTCCCTGGTCCAATAGGGTACCTTTTTACTCTGCTATCCAGTGCATAGTGGCCTTCTCTAGCTTATTTTATAGATGAAGTTACAGAATTCCGAAGGACGTTTTCTGCTATAACCTAAGAAACAGGTTGTAAAACGTGCCTGGTTTTGTTTTTCAATGCTGGGAAATTAAGGTGTTCTCCCACTACTGCCACTATCAGGGCCACTTCATATATGGGCCATTCAGTCTAGTGCACACTACAATCCTATGCAGCTGAAACACTTAGATTTCCAAAGACATAGACTGGAGTAATTCTGCATAAGTTTGCATTGTTACTTTAAATCCTTGAAATCATGAAAGTCTGCTTAATTCTGTACTGGACTGTGATCACTCTATTTTCCCTCTGTGTAGGAAAAAATGAGTTTGTTCTTGAAGCATGTTGTAATTACTTATTTTACAAAAAAAAGTACACAGGAGTGGGGGGTGGGGTGGGGGAGGGGTTTGGGGGGGGAGAATGATGCACACAGGGTATGACATTTTCCCCATGGGTGAAAATAACTTACAATTCTCAACTGTGCTGGCTCTGGGAGCTTTAAGAGGAAGATGGGAAAGTACCACATCGTCCACTTATTGGTACTCCATACCAACCTGTACCAGCTTACTTTCTTCCCTGCCCCCACTGCATGATATTGCAAACCCCATATCTCTGACTATCTCTCTCTCCTAATTTCTTGCTTTGAGCTCTCAGTGGTGCAGAGTCCAGAATCACCCTGCCTGGCTTCTTTTTGCCTTCTGCCCTTCTTTTTGCTCATACACTCCACTGGTTCCTGCAGAGTATTGTCTTCTGCAAACAGACCAGGTACTCAGCTGTGATCTGATGGGCTGATAGAGTAGCTTTATACTCATTGTCCAAAAGCAAACAGGAAGCTGCCACTCAGAGTGTAAATAATGGAAAAACACCAGCCATGAAATAACGGCCATCCTTTCTTCCCCTCAATCCCAGGCACTTTCCCTTTCAAGCTGTCAAGAGGCTTCTGTGGGGGGAACTATGAGTGCAATTAAATATTGATGGTTGTACAATGAAAAGGTGTCTTCCATCCTGAATTCAATGACCTGATACCCTTTGGTGCTGATTCAAACTGGGGTTCTGGGGCAAGGGATAACCTTTTCCTGTGTGCGAATTCCTAGCCTCAGTCCCTGCTCCCAAGCTGCTATTCGCTCCACAGAGTGAATCATACAAGTATCCTTATGCTCCCTGTATCTCCATACTACAATTGTGTTACCTCAACAAATGCAGGTTTGGAAGTGTGCATATGCTAATATCATATACAGTTCCACCCAGATGGAGTGCAACGCATAGGTTCCACATTAAATAGGTAGTGGGCAGTCCCAATAAAGTAGGGGGATAGTTCATCAACTATAGAGTTCTGAGTGCAGAACTACAGTACACACAGAAAAAGTGACCCTCCATTTTCTATTCAGTGTCCATTGTTCATCTTGTGGACTGCACTGGAAACCACAGCAAACTTAATTGGGTGTCTAGAATGACCTGAGGATTGCCTTGCTGGGCCAGATGAAGAGCCCATACAGCCCAGCATTTCATTTCTCTCAGTGGCTAACCAGATGCCTTTGTGAGTTTACAGTTCACCACTGTGATGCTGATGGCGTTCTCTGTGTTCTGGTATATTTTCAGTACCAATCAATGCACCAGGAAATGAATAGCAAAAATTGCCAAAAAGCAGACTACTTTTCTCATGTCATCTGATGTCATCAACAGGTGGTGGCAGTACAGAGCAGGGTCAGTGGGAAGCTGGCTGCACTTTGCATCCCAATGTATGCGTTTGAGCTCCAAGACTTTTTAAGAATGAAAAGCATCTTCTAGAAGGGAGAAACTTAGAAGAGAGAGGCAGCAAAGGAGGGCATGCGTAATCCCTTTTGCTGCCCAATGTTTCTCTATTCCAAATCAGCTGAATTTGAGAGATCTGCAGTGCAATCCTGAACAGAATCATCAGACCATTCTAAGCCCACTGACTTCTAGGGGCTAACTCTGTTTAGGATTGTATTGTTGGAGCAGAGACTACCAGCATGAGCAAAGACTTAGATCAGCTTTAATATGAAAAGGAAAATGGGGCTGCACTTACCTGTAACCGTTGTTCATCGAGTGGTCTTTTGTGTAGGTGCACATGGGACTGCACTTTTGCAGGCTGGCCATGGAGAGGACCCAGCAAACTTTATAGAGATGTTTCTAGAGCCAAGGAGTGCTCCCCCTCTCCTCCATCTTCAGTGTAGCCTTTCCTTAGTTCTGCCGTAAGGAGTGAGCATGAGTAGAGAAGCCAACAGCAGGGAAAGGAGGAAGGGACATCTGCCTGCACAGAAGACCACTCAATGAACAACGGTTACAGGTAAGTGCAACCCTGTTTTCATCTTCATGGCTTCTGTGCAGTCCCAAATGAGAGAATAGCAAGTTCACTTACTGGATCAGCGGAAGATTGACTGTAATACCTCCTTGGTGGTAGGGGTTAATCAACCAAGTGTAAGGACCTGAGCCTGGGGTGGTGGATCAAGCCTCCTTGTAGAAGATCTTCCTCCAATGAGAGGGATTTGTGAATTCCCCTTGCTAGGTTCCAGAGCAGTGGGAACCACATTCATCTTAGCCAACAGGATGCGAGAAGTATGCTATAGCAGAGGCCATATATCCTTGTAATCTTTGAATGTTTTTGGCAGTCTGAAATCTGCAAGCTAAGAAATTCTGAGCGATATAGTATTACTAGCTCTTGATAATGGTAGGAATGTCCTTCCCTTTATCAAATCAATACTAGCACCTATGAAGTTATGGATTACGTAGGAGAAGGATGAGATTTCTCCTCATTGATAAGTGTGTTTGTTTAGGGTTTGCAGAACACAATCCAAATCCTTCCTTAGGGTCCCCGGGGACTTGGCTACAAAAAACCAACCATCCAAGTATGGATAGATGGTGCATACCTGAAGTCTCAATACCTATTACAAGGTGGTTTGTCAAGCTTTGGGAACTACTGGTAATGGACAAAATTTCCGATTCCATCATGATGGCTGACGGATCGAAGGTAAACTCAAACTTGCTGGCCAAATGGACTCCTTTCTTAGAATATGTCCAGGACAACTTTTCCACTCAAATGGGCCTTATGCCATCCAAATACAAAGAAATACTCACCTGTTTATAACCTATGAGAGACTTACTTGTAATAGTGTTCCACTGTTTACTCCGGTTTCTGTGTTTGATGTAAGAGTTTTGCAACTACACTGTTTGGAACTTATGTGAATGTAGTCTATGGTTAACCTGTTGTTTTGTATTTCTCTTTGTTTTGTTATAAAATAGATGAAAAATTTACCAAAAATAAAAATTTAAAAACCCTATAGATTTACTTACCATTAAAATAAATAAATAAATAAAAACTCACAAGTAAATGTAAAAAAA